GTATCCATTGTTGTGGTGTTTGTTGAGGATGTGTCGTCATCATCATTCGATATCCACTATTATTATTATTATTATTAATACCAGTTGGATTACCATGACCACCATTATAATACACAGAATTTTGTTGTTGTTGAGTTGGTAATCGTTGTGATAAATTAGTACGAACTAATCCACTTATAGATGAATGTTTACCACCTTTACTACCTTTACCACTTGATGGCATCATTTTGCCAGTTGAACTTGGTGAAGCTGATTCCATTGAATGATGATATTGTCCAGATGTTGTTGGTTCAGAATTTTCTGAATTAATTGGTGATGGACCTAGAATAATAGATAGTTTAATGAAGGATATGAATTTCCTTTTTTTTTGTTGGTACATAATTACCTGGTCCCATTTTTGCTCGATGCATAGCTTTAATACGTCTTCAATCAACTTGCATAGTTGCTGCACGTTGTCGTTGAATTTTATGTTTAAAACTTGCACAAAAAGGTAACTAAAATATTTTTTCAAATGAAAAGGTTGACATTGACTTCGTGATGCTTTTGTACATTCTTTTGTATGTTGTAATAATCTTTTACATAATGAACAATTTTTATATATACAATTTGCATTTCGACATTGTACAGCATGACGTATAGCATCTAACATTCGTTGCATTGTTAATTGTCTTTGTTGTTGAATATTAATTGTTGTATCCGAATTTGTTTTTATTTCATTTGTATAATCTGAACGTTCCATACGATGTTGATGTTTTATTGTTATATAACATTTACAACATAAATCATAATCTTCACATATTGTACAATGATATCGAATATGACATAATTGTCGACATGAATTACATGTATAAGATATTTTATCGGTTGTTGATGAATGTAATTCAATTAATGAAACCATTGTTGAATATTTTGCACGACATAATGAAGAAAATTCACAATGTTTTTCACGAGCAAAATTTAAAAATGCATCACGAGATTCCATTAAATCACATTGTATTAATGGATCTGTATAGGTTAATGTTGCAGGATTTGACATTGGATTACGTAAACGAACAACAAAAAATGGCTAGAAATATTTTTAAAAAGAAAAATTGTTTTTTTTTTTTTCGTCTGACAGATCAAATATATTGTTATAAAATAAGTATATCACACCAGTTTTCCTATAGAATATAGTTTGTTAATGTCTACTTCTAAGACAAGTTTTCAAACTATATTAGAAGATAAATAAAACAGTGCGAGACTATAAACTTTCTAGATTCTGAAGGGACTAAAGTATCAAGAACATTGGGAGAAAAAAAAAACACCTTTTTGTAGTTCTCTATCTTATATTAATTCTTACTTCTTTATGTTTTTCCATCATTGCATGAATTTTTGAAATAAGATCACTTCCATTTGTCATATTTTTTCGAGTTATTCGACGTTGACTTGTTGTTTTTTCGAAACTTTTTATTTTACATCAGTACTTATGGTATCAAGATATCGAGATATAATTGAAACAAATCAAACAAATTTTTCTCGACAATCATCAGTTATAAGTACAACACCTAGTATTCGACATGGTATGAATATATTACTTAGGGCTAGCCAAAAGTTCGTAGAACAGTTTTAAAGAATCTTGTCGGATAAGGTAATCTATTTAGAAATGAAAAAGCAAATATACCATATTGTAGAGCTTTTTGAGGCGCGTCGAATGGTATATAATAAATTCTGTTTTCATAAGACTTTGAAGGAACTAGAGTCAATTTATTGATAGATGACTACTCATCCATACTCACACCTTCACCTAAGTATGATAGATTACTGAATATTGTTGTCCTTGGGATTAGTCGAAAGTATTTGTAAAATATTTTTTCTCACATACGATTTTGCAGAGTTTTTGACGGACTACTACTTCATATATGTAGCATCTCCGGTCATCTTGTCATTGGGGGTATGGGTGTGTAGTCGTCTATCAGTAAATTGATTCTACTTCCTTCAAAGTCTTATGAAAACAGGATTTATTATATACCATTCGACGTGCCCCAAAAAGCTCTACAATATGGTATATTTGGTTTTTCATTTCTAAATAGATTACCTTATCCGACAAGGTTCTTTAAAATCGTTCTATGAACTTTTGGTTTGCCCTAAGTAGATTGTTATTTCTTTATTAGAAACTTTGTTTTTTTTTTTATTAGGCTCGACTAGTGAGATAAATGTAGATACAGTTAGTATAAATGATTCAACATCGATTACAAATAATCAAGTATGAATTTTGTTAAATTAATTTTTTTTGGGGGGAGGAGGAGGGGGAGTTTTAAAAATTGTGTATTTTGTAGTAGAATAATGATGAATCCATAGTTATTGATGATAATAATGAAGTTAATAAAATAAATTTACAATCAACTAATAAAAATTCAATCGATATAAATAATACAAGTGCTACAGCTATTCAATACGGTATATATGATGTAGAGAAGTAACCATAACATTTATTTTCTAGCAAGTATTGCTAGTATTCCTACTAGTGATTCAACAACAATAAATAAAAATCAATTAACTGAATCAAAACTTCCCGATTATCCAAAAGCAAATTTTAATTCAAATGAATCATCAATGAATATAACAGAAAAATTAGAACGAGCATTATCGAATATAGCACCATTTTTATGTGATATATTTATAGAATTTTCATATATACTTACAAAAACATTAGTTGGTTCATATGGGCAAGAATTATTACCTAATGGTTTACATGCACTTAAACAAACAGCATCTATTGTTGAACTTGTTATGTTATTATGTTCACAAGAATGGCAAAATTCTCTTCACATAATAAATACTCAAACCTAAGAATTTATCTTGTTATCTAAAAACTTTTTCATACATTTTGTTTTTGATTTTAGAAACACGCTGGTTTAGCTTTTATTGAATTAGTTAATGAAGGACGTTTATTATCTCATGCAAGTAAAGATCATGTTGTTAAAGTAGCTAATGAAGCTGATTTTATAGTTAATCGTATGCGTACTGATGATATACGTAAAGCAAGTGAATTTGAACAATTATCAGCACAAACAACTGTTGAACGTAAATCAGAAGAACAATAATGTGAACATTTTATAACAGCAGCAAGACAACGACATCAAGTTCTAGCATTACGTTTACAAGAAAAATTTTTAATGATGATGATTAATGATAAAACAATTTATTTAAATAGTTCAAGATTATTTTGGAAATTAGATCCATGGGAAGATGATTTAAGACGACGACGACGTTTAATACGTAATCAAAATGGTTCTGTACATAATGAAGCAACACAAAAATCATCATTTAATGGTATTAAGGATGATATAATAATATCTTTTATACAAGAAGAAAATTTATTAAAACAACAAAAAATACAAAATTTTAATCAAACAATAACAGATAATGATGAAATATTAAAAGTTGATGAAAAAGATCTTGATCAAGATTTTTCAGGACCAATACGTTTTTCAACAGAATGTTCATTAATTTGTGGTATAAATATAATACGTGGTACTTTATCTATGACACATAATGTTATGTTATTTGATGCTGATGAATATGATGAAAGTTATATAAAAATTGATTCAAAAGTAAAATTAATAAATTATTAAAAATCATATATATATTCGATTTTTTTTTAGATGTTTTCTTATATTGATAATATTCATGGAAAATGGCATTTTAATGAAATACGAGCTATATTTTCAAGACGATATCTTTTACAAGATAAAGCATTAGAAATATTTGTTTCAATTAGAAGTATGAATTAAATAGATTATTTTTTTTCTTAACTTCATTTAAAATTATACTTTAGACTAAAACTCATAAATAATATCATTTTTCATTTGAGCAAGAAATTATCTATCTTTATTTATATAATAAATAGATTTTTAGAGATTTGTCTTTTTTTTTAAATAGTTCAATTTTGATAGTTCCAATAATATTGAAGATGAAATGAATTTGATTCATATCCATAGGAATCCTTTCTTTCCTTTGGTAGAACCTGAAATTTGTTCAAACATGCGTCAATTTAGTAATCCTTAATATACAGGGTGTCCCATAAGTAACAAGACAAGGAAAAAAAGTTTGAATATCTCCATTAGGGCTCGACCAAATGGGCTCAATTTTTTATCAAGGATAGAGGCATCTGCACACTCCAAATCCATACGAACAAGGTGAATGAGAACCTTTGTTAAGTATCGCTAGTGACCTCAACAATAAAATTTTTGCTTTGTCAGTGGTAAGAAAAAACCAATATACAGGATAGTGCAAAAGTCACTTTATCGAAAAGAAAATTAAATATTTCCATTACGGCTCGAGCAACCGAGCTGATTTTTTTACCAAAAATAGAGGCATGCTTATACTTCAAATCCATACAGACAAGCTTAGTGAGGACCTTTGTTAAGTATATTTTTTTATTTTCCTGTCTGTGAAAAAGTAAAAATTTTATTGTTGAGGTCAATAGTGATACTTAACAAAGGTTCTCATTCACCTTGTTCGTATGGATTTGGAGTGTGCAGATGCCTCTATCCTTGATAAAAAATTGAGCCCATTTGGTCGAGCCCTAATGGAGATATTCAAACTTTTTTTCCTTGTCTTGTTACTTATGGGACACCCTGTATATATATAGATAATATGGTAAATTAGATTTATTGGTCTTGCTATGAAATTCTCTTGCGAAAAACCTCTAGCTTATTGCTATACTTCTACATATATTTTTTTAAAATGAGTAATATATTAAGAGAAAAAATGATTTTTGAATTTCGCATAGGAACAAGCCTTTATAAGAATGATTTCTTATGAAAGTTTCAATTCTTCTTGTTCTTCATATTCTAAAATATAGCTATAACAACTAATACTTTCACAAAAAAAAAACAACTTCTTATTAACTCTTAAAAGTCCAAGGAAGGTTTTTCTTGCAACAGAAAGAAAACAACCATAAAAATTGAACTGATGAATTCTTAGTACACTCATATTTTGTTCTTAATCTAGAATTTACATAATGTCCTTAAAAGGAAATTTTGCCATTAATCAGATAATATTATTCTTAAATTATTATGAAATTTTCAGTCAAAACTGATACTTTATTCTTGAGATATTGAAGATAGAAAAAAATCGTCAACATTTTACCAAAAAACTCATAAAATCCAACTTATCTTCAACATGTTGTATTTCCAAGTGTAAACAATAATTGTTTATTGAAAAATTTCAGAGTAATCTAAATAGCATATCAGTTATTTATAAGTCAAAATCTCTTTGTTTCAATTTTTTCTTGAGGCAGAATATCCCATAGAAGGAACATTGGGTTCTTAAGGGTGAAGATTTGTCTCTATGCAAAGTTACAAATCAAAATAATCTAACAGATATTTGTATGAAAGATTGAATTATTATTTCAATCTATAGTTTGCTGTTTCTTTTTTGTTATAATGTACTTTTCTAAATTTGTATTTAAGCAAGTGTTATGTTTGCATTTATTGATCGTTCAATTGTAAAAAAAGTTGTAAACTTTTTACCTCGAGTTGGTGTTGGTGGTCGTTATGGTTTACCACAACAACGGTTAGAACAATTATTTGATAATATTTATTTTTCTATTAATTTTATTTCGACGAACATCATTAGCATCAGCAAAACAATTATTTCGTTCAGCAAATATGACTCAACGATGGCAAAGACGAGAAATTTCAAATTTGTGAATATCTTATGTATCTAAACAAGATTTAAATCAATATCCTGTATTTCCATGGATTATAGCTGATTATGAAAGTGAAAAACTTGATTTAAATTCTCCATCAACTTATCGAGATTTATCAAAAGTAAAATTTTTAAATTATTTTTATTATCTATACTTGATTTTGTTTTTCTTTAGCCAATTGGTGCATTAAATCCTACAAGAAAATCATTTTTTATTGAACGTTATAATAATTGGAAATCTGATACAATACCACCATTTCATTATGGTACACATTATTCAACAGCTGCATTTACACTTGGTTGGATTATTCGACTTGTTAGTTTGAATATAATTATATTTAAATGAATCGAATAGTTTTCTTGTTTTTTTTTAGGAACCATTTACAACATTTTATTTAAATTTACAAGAAGAAAAATTTGATCATGCTAATCGATTATTTCATTCAATACCATTATCATGGCAAAATTGTCAACGTTATTCATCAGATGTTAAAGAATTAATACCGGAATTTTTTTTTCTACCTGAAATGTTAACAAATTATAATCATTATAAATTAGGACGAACTGAAGATGGAATTAAAGTTGATGATGTTATTTTACCTAAATGGGCACAAACACCAGAAGATTTCATTCGAATTAATCGAACAGTAATAAAAAAAATAAGAGAAATTTTTTGAAGAAATAAAAAAAAAACTTTTTTTTTTGTTTTAGTCATTAGAATCTGAATTTGTTTCATGTCATTTACATCATTGGATTGATTTTATTTTTGGTTATAAACAAAGAGGTTTATTTATAGAAGATTAATATTATTTTAATAATTGATATATGTTTTTTTTAGGACCTGAAGCTGTTCGTGCTGTTAATGTTTTTTATTATTTAACATATGAAGGTACTGTTAATCTTAATTCAATAACAAATCCAACAGATCGTGCTGCTATTGAAACACAAATAAGAAATTTTGGTCAAACACCAGCACAACTTTTAACTGAACCACATCCATCAAGAAATTCAGCAATGAATTTAGTAAGACGAAATAAAAAACAATAAACACTTTATTTTTTTTTTTAATAATTCCTTTTTTGGTCTATTTTAGACTCCAATGATGTATAATGTGTAAGTAGTTTGTTTTTTTCTCAATAAAAGAAAAAAAAATAATTTAAATATTTTAGTACACCAGAAGATGTATCAATGATAATGAAATTTTCATCAAATGTACCTATTATTCATGTTTCTGCTAATACAAATCCAACACTTTCTATACAAGCTATTATTACAATTAGTAATAAACATGATTTTTCTATAAATAAATATCATCCAAATGCTAGTACACCAACATAAACTTATTCTGAATCATCACAAACATCAATACATCAACAAACACAATTACCATTAAGCATGGATTCAATATTAGGTAGATTAATTCTATAGTTAAACTTTTTATAGATATTAATTTGAATAATAGTTATTCAATATTCAAAAATAACAATAACAATAAGAATATCTTTTTTTTATTTAGTATCAAATATATAAAGGACGGGGGCGCATAAGACCGCATTTTGGCCCCTTTGATTATT